ACACACACACACACACACACACACACACACACACACACACACACACACCCCACATATACACACACACGCAGCTGCAGCACGCTGGGTCACACTCCTTGCTGGCGCCAGGCAGGAGACAAAGGTCGCCGAGGCTTCCGGCGCCGCGCACCTGACACAGCTGAGCCGCTCCCCGGGCTCCGCCAGCCCCGAGCCGGTCTCGGCGAGGTCTGGACCCCGTACCCTGAAGCCGGAGACCCAGCCCGTTTCTGCCCTCGGGGGTCAGCACCCCACCCCGGCCCCGGCCCCAGTCCCAGCGCGCAGAGGGTTAAGACGCGGGCGCGGGCGGGGCAGGCGGTCCCCGGGCGTGATTGGCTGAGCTGCCCGGGCCCCGCGCCCCGCCATTGGCCCCTCGGCGGGCCCGCCTCCTGGGACTCGGCGCCGGTGCCGCGCTTAGCCTCGGGGACCCAGCGCGCCGCCGCGGCACGCAGCCGCGGCGTCCGAGGTGTGCGGCCGGGAACTGGTAGTGGGGCCCGGGGAGCAGCGCGGGGCCGGAGCGAAGCGCGCGAGCTATGGTGAGTGCTGCGCCCGGCCCGCCTTGACGGTCCCCCGCGGCGGCGCCGGAGTGGGACTCGGGGCCCGCCCGGCTCGCGGGGGCTGGGCGCAGGCAGCAGCCCTGGGAGGGCGTGGAGTCGGGGGGCGCGCGGGCAGGGCTCGGCTCGCCTGGCGGCGCCGCGCTCGGTCCCGTCGGGGGCGGCCGCGCCGAGCTTGGTTCTGGGCGGCTGGACCCGGCCGGGTTTGGAGGTCTTGGGGTGGCCGATTCGGTTCGGGGTCCCTTGGTGCGGTTCTGGGCTGGGGCGTCCGGAAATCCCTGGACCCGGCTGGGCTTAGAGACCCTCGGCTGGTTCCGTAAGGGGGTCGGGGGCAATCTGAAGAGACTGTATTCGGTAGGACCTGAGTGTTCTGGGCCTCTGAGGTGGTTCCGGGGCTCGACTTGGGGCATCGTGGGTGGCGGCGCCGAGCGCCTTCATAAGACTAGGTTGGGCGCCCTGGGACTGTGAATCCAGTATTCCCCTAGGGGCTTGAGAGTGGAGGCTGGGCAGCCAGGTTGCGGCTGTCAGAGTCCAGGGGCCACTTGGGGACCCTAGGCCCAGCGATCTGGTCTCCCCAGCATCTCCCGGTAATGGGTCTTCAGAGGAGGGGGTTGCTGAGACCAAGCACTGACTTGGATGGGCAGTGGTACCGGGGAGAAGGGAGCTGGGCATGGGGATTTCAGGGGGGTTTCTGAAGCCTTAGGAGAGAAACCCATTTGGTCGGGCCGGAGTTGTTGAGGCTGTGTTAGAGAGGAGGGTTGTCTCTGGAAGGAAAGCTAAGACCTTTCAATATCTCTCTGGGGCCCAGTGATCACCTCTCCATCTTGGGGGCCAAGGCCACCTACTTCTCTGTGGCTTCTTTCCCCAAGGACAGGCCCCTCTGATTCTCTCTCTAGTCCAGTTCTGTACCCTGCGGAGTGGATACAGGTCACCACGTAGGGCCTGAGGAGGGCACGTGCCAGTGATGGTGGCTGCCAGTCCTGGGGAAGCAGCCACCTCCACTTCTCCGTGGCAATGCTGCCAAGCCTGTGGGGGCCCGGGTGGGGGCAGGATGGGATCCCCTGTAGACTGACGAGTCCCCCCAGGGGCTCCCCAGGACCAGCCCCTACTCTGCCCAGGGCTGGAGTGCCCTTACAACATCCCTTTCATCTTCCCTCCAAGCCAGTCCCCTCTTTTCTCGCTCCACGAGTGTCCGCCTCCCCTGTACCACCTGCCTCTCCGGAGTCAGTAGTAATGCAGGTATGGCTTGACTCTGCACCCAAAGGTGCTTAGAGACCATCTTGGATCCAGCCCACCTCGTAGATCAGGAACCTGCCCCTGGATTGCTCTGCTTGAACCCCCCGCGGACCGGCACTTGATTTAAGGTCTCAGTATATGGGAAATAAAAAGGGTGTCGTTGAGGTTGAGGTCATATCATCCACTTTGCCTCCAAGCCCACCCTGACCTAAGTTACTCAGAAAGAGAACTGTTTTCTCCTTAAATATCAGTAAAGAAAGAGAGGTCACCTTGCATTGGTGACACTTTTCAGAGCCTTACAACCTAAGAAGCCTCCCAGCCTGTCAGAGAGGCCCCTGGCTTTGGCATCAAACAGATTTGGATTTGAATTCTAGTTCCCCTACTTCCCCAGAGGGACAAATTACGTCATCACCTCCCAGTATCAGTTTCCTCATCTGTGAAGCGAGATGATGGGTCTTATCTCACAGGGATGGTGTACAGATTCAGTGAGATAACCCAGTGAGAGTGCTTTGCTCAAATACAGCTAACTTTCCTTTCTTGTACAACCTTAAGCTCAAGGTGGGAAGTTCTGCCTGACATCTAACCTATTTGCTAAGTCTGGAAGAAGGATTAAAATTCATCATGTTGTGGGGAGAAGGGAAGAGTGATACTTAGAGAACGGGTCATTGGCTCACCTTTTAACAAAGATTTATTGAACACTTACTATATGCCAAGCGCTGTCTAGGGAGGGAAAAACAGTCGTAAACACTGTGTCAGGAGAGCTTCCACCAGTTCATAAATGTCCACGCAATCCTCAGGCTAGGTGGCATATCTTTAGGAGAGGTAGAGAGATCCTGCCAGGTGAGGGCTCCCTTCTGTATGGAGAGGTGAGAGAAAGCTTCACCCAGCAGGTGGCATCTGAGTTGGAAAGAACATCCCAGCTAGGGGAACCTGTGTGAGCAGGGGACCAGAGGTGTGGGAGTACGGGAGAGGCCTGAATGGGGCTTGCCTGACACCTGGGCATCAGAGAGGCAGGAGAGAGGAGAGAGAGTGGGCAAGGGATGCTGATGGGGCTGGATGGCTGGAGGCTTAGGCAGACCGAGGAGCCAGAACTCCACTGTGGACTGTTGGTCCACTGCATGTGGGTGCAGAGGAGGCTGATGTCAGGCCTCCTTGCTCCCCATCATTTTGGTTTCCCCTAAACCCTAGTCCCTGTGCTCATTCCTGAGGTGGGGGTGATTCAGGGCCGCTAGAGTGTTTATTCCTTGGATCTCCTGCTCCATGGGTTTTAAACAATTCAGCGTTCCCTCCATCGTTGCCAAGTTTCCCCTGGCCCCTGGGTTCCTAGTGGGGCTCCTTTGGAGAGTGTGTGGGCTGTTTCCTGTTGTCCTGGCTCAAGCTCCCTGATGGTTCCAAGCTCCCCACCCAGGTCTCTAACCCCTTGGCGGGGAGTCAGCGCTGTTCTCAGAGACCTCAGGTAGACCCCCCCAGTGCGGGCTTGACATGAGGGTTCTCAGGAGGCACAGCAGCAGGCACAGAGGGGTGAAGGAGATTGCCCAGGGTCACACAGCAAGATAGCGCCAGAGCAGGCACAGACCTCCTAGATGTTTGGAGGGTTACCAGATGGACAGGTTGGGGGAAGGAGGCCCAACCCGGCATTGCCAGTCCACTCTGTGGCACCTTGAGAATGTTCCTTTACATTCCAAACTAGGGGCTGAGCACAAAGCCACAGCTAAGGGTTGGGAATCATCTTGACCGTAAGTGGCTGAGTTGAGGACAGGTCCAGCTCCTAGGTTTGAATACTGGATATACCACCAACTTGCTGCGTGACTTTGCATCAGTTATTCCCTCTTTCTACACCTCCTTTCCTACCAAGTGGGGCAGATCTGCTCCTTCTGTAAGATACAATGTAGAAATGCTTCATTGCCTATTAAGCACTTGAGGGAAAAAGTATTATTAATTAAAGGTGGGAGGCCAGCCACATCCCCCCTGAACCAGTCTGTAGGGGGTTCCTGGAACACAGAAGTACCTTTCCCGGTGTGGCCAGAGCCTGTGCTCATAACTGGGTTATTGCTAACATTTTGGTAAATAGGCATGTTGTTAACTTTTGTTAAAGAATAAGTACATTGTTTCCCAGACAGAACTGGAGAGACCAGGAGAGCAGCAGGATTTGAGGAGTAAGAGGGCTACAGGGTGGATTCAGCAGAAAGTTTCAGGCGTCAGCCAAGACATAAGCAGGTTGGCTAAAGTCCACACTTCGATGACAGCGAGGGAGGAACCATCAGCAAATGTTTACGACTTTTCGTTCCCCTCAATTTTTTCTTTTTGGTTGACTAGCTAAGCACCTCGCCCCCGTCAGAGTGCTGCATTCATTCATTCATTCGTTCATTCATTCATTCACCAAACAAGTATGCGTGGCATAATGCCAGGAGCTGGGGCTGTGGGTGGTGTGAACGAGACGGGTAGGTCTGTCTTCCACAGTCTGGTGGGCAGGCAGATATGGAGCAGGAAATTACCAGTGTGATTTCTGTTACCAAGGAGACTCGCAGGGTGCCGAGGAACAGATAGGGCAACCTGGCCTGGGGATCAGAAGAGGCTCCCTGAGGACGTGACATTAAGGTTGTAGCCTAAAGAATGAACATTCTAGGCAGAGGGAGCAGTAAGTGGGAGATGGGACAAAACATGGTGCACTCGGGAGTTAATTCAGTTGCAGGTTGGGAGGTGGCCCCGGGGCAGGCGCACGCAGGGAGGGCCAGGTTAAGAATTCGGGGCTCGATCCTAAGGGCAGTGAGAGGAGTGATGTGGTCAGGTCTGCGTTTTGAGATGATGGTACAGGCTGCTTTCTGGAGAATGGGTAGGAGGGGTGAGGCTGGAGGCTGGGAGACCATTTAGGAGGCTGCCAGAGTGGCCCTAGGAGAGATGACAGTAGTCTGGACACCAGTCACTGCCCCATCCACCCCACACCACATCCCCATCATGCTGCCCAGAATGGGCAGTGAGGAGAGGAGGGAGCTGTGGCCACAGAGGTCCCACAGCCCTGTGGACATTGACCTTTCTCTTCTCATGCTTTCATGCAGATAACTAGCGGGGCTCCTGGCCTCCAAGAACTTTGACCTAAAAGAGAGAAAGGTGAAGCTTCTGAATGGCTCTGAAACAAGGTAGAAAACAGGGATGCAGCTCCAGAGTCACCCTGGCCATGGAGGTGTATCAGGGAAGTCTTCCCAGAGGAGGCGGCATCTGAGCTGCTTCATATGGCAACAGTTAGTGGAATGGAATGCTTCCTAGGAGCCAAGCTTTGGAGACATGACAACAAGGAGATACTCTCCTGTCCTTAAACAGTTATAGTCTGGGGGGCAAAGTTTAATGAGCAAGCAACACTGACTGAACCCCACTGCCAGTGAGAGGTGCTGGGGGTCTAGGCCCTGAGGGTTCTGCCCTTTCCCCAGCTGCCCTGAGGATGGGGTGCCTGGGATATCCGCTGGCCTGTCTCAGCTCGCTGACA